CTAATGGGGGTCACTAGAGATTCAGTGGGTGCCTACAATTATAGACCACAGAAAGGCTCCCTCAAAAGTACCTGCCCTTATTATAAACATGTATTATAGAGATATTTTCTACTAACTACAGATGTCTCGGAGACAGACTTTAAGAAAACTCTATCCTAGTTTGCTCACATTCATGAGAGTAACTCGATCCTCCCCAACAAATACACACATTATAGAAAGCAAGTCTTGTCAATGAGAAATGAATGCCAACACATTACCAAGAGTCAAAGTACCCCAGGAGGACAAGATGCCCACACATGTCTTCAGTCACCTATCTTAAAAAGCAAGCGGCAGTGTCAAGGGGGCACTTTGCTTTTAATTGTTGTAAAGCCTGAGTCAAAAACAAGGAGCTAGGGAGGAATGGACTTGATCTACTAAAAAGAGTAGACAGAGAGGGACGTGTAGTGCCGTCCCTTGTTCAAGCTGGCAGTGACAGAGTGAGTGCACTGTGACAGCTACCTCCCAGGACACAGGCATTCACAAACACCGTGGAGGTGCGTGTGCTCCAGGAGAAGAGGGCTGGGCTGCTGCCCTCACCGGCTCGGCAGTCAGCTAGCTGAGACCCAGCTCACAAAGCACGGCAAGAGCACACAGGGCTTGCTTCCCGCCACTGATGGCGCGCTGGAGCACAGGTCTGAACACGACCCCAAAACATCAGCAAAGAACACTGGTCTTTCTGATGGCACACACCTCTACGGAAGCCACCAAGGTGTCCCCAGTGTTTCAGTTTATGAAAGCACACAAATGATGCACAGTGGACAATCACCAATGCTTAACAGAACACTTCTGACCTCAAAACGGCCATCTGCTGATACTTCCTTATTCATAAATAGGATATCAGGTTTTTTTTACTGAACATAATCTAGTGTTTTTAAACATTCAAAGGCTGCTCTTTAAGACCAGAGAGCAGAGGGCTGGAGAGGAGATGGCTCAGCAGTTAACAGCACTATTTTTTTTTTCTAGAAGCCTCAGGTTTGATTCCCAGCATCGAAAGGGTAGTTCACAACTGTCTATAACTCCAATCCCAGGAGATCTGATGCCCTCTTTTGGCCTGCAAAGGCACCAGCCACATATGTGGTGCTCAGATGTACATGTACGCAAAACATCTGTAAGCATAAAAACATTCTGTTTCCTGGATCAACTAACTAACCAACAACCACAACTATGGAGGGTGAATGAAGAAACTCAACTAAATTTCAGAGGTAGAAGGGACCTTACAGACAAGCAATCTCGCACACAGGGGCCCAACTCAGTGCCTGCCTCAGGGTTCATGGTTACAGCAAAGCAGGAACATGGAAACAGAGTAGTAGTGCATATCACATGGGGACCGTATGTACCCCAATTAATTGTCAGCAAGTGGAATGAGGTGTTTAGGATAAGTAAACAAACTCCTGAAACTGCCCAACCCCCACCACAGCGGTAATTAGAAACTGTATCTAGATTTTTAACATGGTTTTCTTCTTCTAAATATTCATACCTTCCCAATTTCCTTTCTCTAAGATAGTTTTCCTAGACACTGTGCAAAGCTGGTAGCAAGCACCATCTTGGTCTCTGAAGGGCTAAGCCAGCTCAGTTCTGATTTCTCCCGATACAAAATGCTTTGGTATCAGGTAGGGCTCGTGACTATAAAGTTGTAAGAGAATTCCTCAGGACAGACAGACCTCAGACTTGAGGGTGAAAATGTTTGGGGGAAATCCCACAAGTTAAAATATCAAATGCCAAAACATGCCTGCATCCAGGTTCAACCTGGCAGTGGGACGACAATCTTATGCTGGTATGTCTCACCTAGAACAAGTTGAAAATAAAAAAAATAAATTAAGCACAAAACACCATGTGAAAGCACTTTAAAAGTTATGTGGATAGAACTGACTAGAGAACATTGAATTTCAGATGCTTTTAGGTACCAAGCTTTAAAAAGGTTTCTGAGTCACATTTACTTCATGATTACAATAGACTATATTTTGATTTTTTTTTTTCAGTGCTAGGGATCAACCCAGAGCCTCATACATACTATGTAATCCTACACACACTTGCATCTCAGTGCTAGAAAATACGCATGCTTCTTCTGTGTGGGGTACCATTTTCCTTGTGCCGCCTGACTGACCTCCTGTGTGTATGTTCTAACCCGACCTAGAAGAACCACGACTAACATCGTATCAACTGGCAACATCACTCACTGTTTGACTTAGAGATTTTGTTTTTGAAAGGAGTCTATTATCTACTGCTAAAGAGATCTTCCTGGAGTCAAAAGGAGACAGTTAAACCAGATCTACAGAACAATAAGCGGAGACTGTCACTCACAAATAGCTCTCTAACGAAGCACATGAAACTTCTAATTTTCATTAAAACAGAAAGCCCTATTATCTTGCAGCTTAATTTATGTTTAGAGAAGGCTGAATTTAGTGATGAGCTCGGTGGGACACTTGAGTTTCCTACTGCCAGTCAGTGCTCTGCCTTCTCTCAGCCCTTACCTAGCTCCCTGATCAAGGTCTTCCGTTATCCAGGAATCCTAAGGTCCTACACCAGAAGCTTCTAAGGCTGTGTGTTACTGGAGTACCTGGTAAGCTTCAAACTAGGGTACAGTGACAGATCTCCTGTCTAGACACTTAACTGTGTATGTTAATGAGCATCTATAACTGAAGGGAAAAGCTATTTATTTCCCTTACCCCTGATCCTCACATGTATCATATCTTCAGATTTCAATGGATATGATCAATAACTGTAGCAAATTCTTTTTAACATCTTAAGTCAGCATGACCAGGTCACTTTTTACCCTTTCAGTGACTATTGCTTTAAGAATTAACATAGCTCATACTTCAACAGTTTTCAAATTCACATTTTTACTAAAAAGCTCAATTTTCCTTGTCTGAGTTGACTAGTCATTAGTATTCTACTGATGGAAGGTACCTGCTACTCCGTAAATTTACTGTACCATTTTACTTTCTTTTCTAATCAACTATTCAACCTTAAGAGTTTAAAAATTTGAATGTTTCATTTTTCCAACATTAAACTACCAAGGACAAAGGGGGTGGGGCTAGGAAGCTAAGCTAAACTGGAAAAGTGCCTCCCTAGCCAACACAAGGGCCAGAGTTAGATCCTGGAACCCATGTTAAAATGCTGGGTGTGGCGGTACCAATTAGTAAGGCCAGCACCAGGAGGCAGAGACAGGAGGGTCCCTGTGGCTCACGGACAGCTGGTCTAGCTCAATTTGTGAGCTCTAGGTCAATGAGGGACCCTGTCTCAAAGGAAGTGAGTGGTGAGGTTCAACTCCGGTCTCTACATGCATACGTGCATGTTCACCAACACCAAAGAACCCTGGTACTTCAAAAAATCATCAAGGGAAACACAAGAGAACAAGATTTAGTTCACAGCCCATTTTGGTATTCGGAATAGAGAAAGCCTGTATCACAGAGAAAGCCCCCCACCCCCAAGAATAACTGGCATAAAAATAGATGGCTTTTCTTGAGAGATTGCTGATTTTAGCTTCTTAGTCAAATAGGTGTTTACTCAACAAAAACAATTCCTGTGAATACATGTTCTCCATGATCTTCATATAAAGTACTGACCAGAGTACCTGTTTAGTCATACTCCTTAAAATACAGCAAGTTTTGACTTCAAAAGAAGCACTGAACTTATAAACAGTAAATGGCTCTCATCTAAATGTCAGAGGTATCCAGTCAACTCTTAGGATCCTTTTATATTTCTCAGTGCTCTGGGGAGATGATCAAATACCAATTCTATTCAAAACAAAAATGGCACTACCAGGAACAGGTTGGAGTTTGGAAGTGAGAAATGAGAATGTCCTTAGGAAAGTGGGTTTTCTTACAGCCTGATAAAGGGACAGGTACCCCCTTTACACTCTGCCTTCCGTGACATCATTTCCATGCTACGACCCATAGGACTTTATGGATTTCTTTTAGACAAAGTCTCTCTATGCAGCCCAGCCTGACCTTGAACTCACAATCCTCCTGTTTCTGTCTCCAGAATGCTGCATTGGAGACCATGGTAAAGGCTTAAACAATTCTCATGGCCACACGAACTACAGACCCTGCAGCTCATTTTCATAGGCCCTGCGCCTACTAAAACCACAAGCTCTTCATAGCAGCACTGAAAAGATGGATAAAACTTAGGAGACAGTAATTTTAGCCAGGCAAACTGAAAAGCTTAGCATCTGTTGCTTAATTCATTTTTGAATGAGAAGTGACTAATCTGTGGATAAAGCAGGAATGTGAGTTAGGACACAAAGAAAAATCAGCTGGTGTTTTCACAACGGTGGGCTACATAATGGCTGCAAAATGCAAATTAATGCTAGGAACATGTAGTTCACAAAGATGGAGGACAGCTTGGGATAGAGGCTGGGGTCTGGGAAAAGGACAAAAAATATACAAGATTATTGTACTTCTAATGAAGAAATTACAGTTTGAAAATGGAACTCAGAACTGATACTTTATAATAGATAAAAATGCTGAGGCTGAGATACTCAGAGCCAATTTAAAGAGATCAGCATAATGTAGAAAAACACTATAGATGGTACAGACTACTACATTTAAAGTGAATGACTTGGCAATATCCTTTAATCTGCAAATTATATAGACAAAAATGAACTGTGCAAGAGGTGAAATATATGATCATGCTATAGAACAAAAATGGAGTAAAACATTTTTTTACCACCTTGACTATAAAAGACACTGTATCAAGGTATGCTGAGAAAATGTAAGATATAAGGAACACACAGCACTCACTTCAAAAGTAAAAGGCAGATAGATCATTACATATTCCCTTTGTGTTATGTACTATTCCTGACCTGGATGAAATCTTAAAGAACAGTGACATGATGTGTAAACTGTAAACAGTGAAGCTTTGGGCTTCACGAGGTGCGAATTTTACACCCAGTATCATCACTTGGTTTGGAATTAACATATTATTTCAGAAGATCATCTAAGTGTCACAAACAAGAAACATGTATATACTGAAATTTTATTTCAATCACACAAATGAAGTTAGCGTGTAAGAAATTTAAATGAAACAGTTATGGTAAAAACAGCAGAGAACTGAAAAACCTAAACAGGAAATACACCTGCAGCATGAGGAGTCAACATTCTTTAGTTCTGATTGACACGTTATGCTTGTAAGTTGTGAACAAACTCTGAGATCATGACGACTATTCTTTAGAGATTTCAGCACCAGCACTAAGGTTTGTACATTCAGGTTGTTTGCTATTGACGTGCTAGCCATTTACAGGGTGTGTTGTAGAGCTGTCGCAGGTCGGATCACAGTGTTGAGGAGAGCAGTGCCTTCCTGTAGTTAGAAAGGACCCCTAAACTGTACTCAGCTGAAGACATTCAACACACAAAAGCAAAACCCACCATCATACTACGGTTCCAAGGAACAGTTCTGGGAAAATAACCTAAGCTTCGGTTTCCCATTTTAATCACTGAAATCTCTAACAATGACAAGACTGTCATGTCTGACAGTGGACATACAGAATAGTCCAATCACACTTTAGGAAGGGACACATTAGCCATGTGGGATAATGCAGTATTATGGAGGATATAGCATGAGTCAACACTGGTTCTTTTTTTTTTTTTTTTTATCATTTTACACAGACATTGTGTTAAATATTAGACCAAGGCACAAAACGTTTAGTGCATAAACCAGTTTCTTTTAGGACTTAGCATCTGACTTTAGTATTCTGTCTCACTTTGGACCACTGATACCCAGTACTCTACCTATTACAGACTATTTAACTTCAGCAACAAAATCAAAAGTGATGTTTGATCAGATCTGTAAGGGATGCACACATTTACATTATCAAAGGAGCGCATAATCAGAAGACCAACAGTAAAATGCAATGACTATTTCTTTGAGAGAACAACTGATGAGCTCACTGCATCTTTACTGCCTTCACCATTACTGCATGACAATGGAGAGCAGGCAGAAGAAGAGCTGTGTATTTGAACTAGGGTAGCTCATCCCTCACAGTTTAATCTAAAAATGAAGTTTCTACAGAAACAAACTCTTAACAAGGAAAAAAAAATCCTCATTCAACTTCTCGGTAGTGTGATGACTGCAAATTGTAGCGTTTAGAAAACTACGCTGTCATCAAGCTTTGTTTTAAAACTGAGACATGAAATCTAGAAAGCAAAAGAAAGTGGATTATTTCCCCCATTTTTTTTTTTTTTAACGTTTTGATAACCAAAGCAAGTATGGCACATGAATAACTCAAGCATAAATCATGATGGAGAGCCTGGAGAATTTTTGATTTCCTAGATTTTCCCAAAAGCTAACATTACAACAAATAGAATTTCTCCCTTATTTTAATCTTGCCAATTATAACAAAAAGGGGTGGAACACACCCAACACACACACACACACACACACACACACACACACACACACACACACACACACACACACACACACACACACCTCTCTCTCTGGGTCTAAGTATCACTTCAGTTTTATGAAAAGAAAACTGCAGAACTCCCCACTGGTTTCCCTTTATCTGGTGACTTCTGTGACCCCAACTGCTGCCATCATTGATATTTCTTGCATTTCAGCACAACCAAGGTCAAGAGCAGCATCCACTCAGGAGCATGCACCCAGACACCCGCAGCACTGCAGGGTCTGGTGACAGCAACTGCCAAGTTCAGTGATCAAACTCTGGAGGTCCACAGTGAGGTGTAATTCATGTGAAGCTCAGAATCATGCTTCAGACCATGGGAATTGCTGGTTAAAATACAAATAGCTGAAGACATGATGTAAAAGATTAAGTACTTGGTTTTGTTAACATGTTTATCGACTAAAGTCACAAAATATTTCTCATAATTCATGCAGATAATTGAGGAAAAAAAAGATAGTGCAGAATTAACTTCAAATAAAAAATTATTCCTCCCCTTCCTCCCACTTCCCTATATTCTACAAAATATTTTCCCCTGGGACTAGGCCTTGAAAAGGCCACTACATATTAGTGTGACATGCATTACTGTCTGTAATTAAAAAAGCTAACTTTGTGGTGATTGTAATTACATTATAAAAATGTCCGCATGCATAAGTCTAAAAAAGGTTGAAAACCTACAGGAAATCTATAATAGAATGTTTTACATTTGACCACTGTTTGTATATAGAAGTCATAGATTTGGTAAAGCATTGTAACAATTTAGGAAGGCATCTAAATATTTAAATTCTGGACGGATTTTGTTTTAAACTACAAAATTGCATGAAGGCTAACCCGAGAGACTTCCTATCATTCTAAATTCCTCAAGTGGGACTAAACATTTTAGGACCTTTCTTATAAATACCACCCTTTGAAAGCACATACAATTCCATTTGTTCCATATTTTATGATCTTAACTATTCACGGAATATCAAATATGATAGGAAGACAAACCTGAGAGAAACGTTTACAATGCAACAGCAGAACTTGCTAAATTAAATTCTTCATCAGCGCCCCCTGAAAAAAACCTCCTAAGCCTTTATCTTTATTTTAGCAATGGATTGTGGAAAACGTGCAGTTTCATCTAGACATGAAAATATTTCTTGCCTGATGGGTTTAGTACTGCTAGGGAATTCAAACACAAGTCTTCATCCTGCGGTAAAGGTCAGAACAGGAGCACGCCGGGAGGGAGCAGCTGATTGCCAGAGTCGCTATGTCTGGAGGCTTTCAGAGGTTGGCGCTTTTTCCCTCCTGACTGTATCCATTTTCTTCTTACAGCTTAAAAATCGTAGGGGGTTGTTAACAGTTGTTTGTAGGAATTCTTGTTTTTCTCCAGATTCAAGTCCTGTCTCTCTTAGTTCGCTTCTCTATGCAGTATTCGACTTGCTCAGTTCCTGCCTGATTGCTGTAATAGGGAAAAAAGGATTTTCAATGTCAATATTCCAGGAAGAAGATACAGATGAATGATTCCTGAGAAATCCTGAGAAAGGGTTGTGTTCAAACTCAGTCATAAAAAGATACAAAATTTACATCTCCATTGTATACATCTTTTATATCACAAAGATTCCAATCATATGTGATTATATTTACGTACCCCAGACTCAGACTCTGGTTCTGTGGGCTCCAAAACAAGGGGTGTACAGTGGAATGGATGAATCAAGGTGTCTTAGATCTGCCTACTGGTTTCCACCACATACTACACTTGACACTTAGAAATCTTGTTTATCTTCATTTTTACAAATAACCCCCATTCTAAGAGGACAGTACCTCTGCAACAACCCGAGCCAAGGCTAGCCCCTCCGGAAGAGCAGTGTGACGAGAGCCGCGTGCCTGGTACTTACCATCAATAAGCTCTTCCTTCAGCTTCGCTAGTTCTTTTCTCATTTCATCTAAAATGTCCTAAAGAACCAAGAGAAAACACCAGGAAACAAAGCACAGATGAAAGCACAGCAAAGCAGTTTTCTGTTCAGACAAAACTGAAGAGTATCTAGAAATAGAGCTCTTTTGTGTCTGTACATGACCAGAGAACAGTCTCGGGCATTGGTCTACAAGTGCAGGCTGTCACCTGTCTGTCCGCGTGCGTCCCCCTCCCACCTTTCTGAGGCCATCTTTTACTTGCCTGGAACTCACCAAGTAGGACAGGCTGGCTGGCCAGTGAGCCGAGGGCACTGCACACCAACGTGCCCGGCTTATTCATGTGTGCCCAGGGGTCAGACTCAAATCCCCATCCGTGTGCTTGCTCCCAAGGGAGCACTTCTCTCCCCAGGGTCCCTCCACCCCATGGCTTCTGATTCCACCACAGTTTCAATTCTATTTCCTAGAAGGCTAGCCTTAGAAAATTCTGTTTCAATATTTCTTCCTTACCCATCTTTGCTTCTTCTGACTAATAAGATATACAGTGGCCAGTTCTGTCATTCAGAGAAGTATCACTCAGACAGCTGTGAGACCCAATCCTCTGCCAGCCATCTAAGAGGTGATGTATTGATGAGGAAGATGGCACCGGACAACCATCTCCTGGCAGATCTGTCACCACATCTGAAGTATGGCAATTTCTTAGGAATCACCACAGCCTGCCAAGTCCTACTTCAAGTACCTAACAGAGCAGGCAGCAGCCACACAGCTGCTGAGCTCTTGAAGTTAGTCTGGAATGAGACGGACTCTAAGTGTAAAGCATCTGCCAGATTTCAGACTTCGTATTAAGAAAACAATGTGGAGGCTGCTCTTGAAGAAGACCCAGGTTTGGTTTCGACTCACACGGCTGCTCACAACCCTCTGTAACTCTAATTCTAGGGGGGGCGATGATGCCCCCCTGACCTCTGAGAGAGGAAAGAATTCATTAAATGAAAAATTTAATGAAATTGTGCTTACACTAAATTCATTTTTAATAAATTAGGGTTAAATAAAATACTTCAATTATTTTTGTTCATTTTAAGCAGACTTTGTTTTTTTTTATTTTCCACATGTGAGTATTTTGCCTGCATGTACATATGTGTACCACATGTGTGCCTGATGCCTGAACAGGCCAAAAGAGGGCATTAGATCCTCTGAAACTGTATGATTTTTAAGAGAACATGTGGGCATTCAGAAGTGGATCCGGGCCTCTGCAATAGCAGCAAATGCTCCTAACTACTGAACCACCCCTCCGGCCTCACCCTGCTCCATTTGTTATGTGGCTGCCATTTCGTGAGTGTGTGTGTGTGTGTGTGTGTGTGTGTGTGTGTGTGAGTGTGTGTGAGTGTGTGTGTGTGTGATGATATATATATATAGATATATAGATATATATGTGTGTGATGACATCTATATATGTGTGTGATGATATATATGATGCTCTGTGTCTCCATCAAGAATTTACATTAAAAGTTAAAAGAGAATGAAAAAGAGCCACAATTTTCATAGGTGAAAAACAACAGCTATCTTTGGAAGGGATCAATTCCTCTTAAATTATGTGTTATACTGTACACTTCAGGAAAATTTTAAATTATCTCTTAAAGTTCATTAAAGAAAAAGCTTTTCTGGGCAATGGTGGCACACACCTTTAATCCCAGCACTCGGGAGGCAGAGGCAGGCGGATCTCTGTGAGTTTGAGGCCAGCCTGGTCTACAAAGCAAGATCCAGGAACGGCGCAAAGCTACACAGAGAAACCCTGTCTGGAAAAACCAAAAAAACACACAAACAAAAAACAACAACAACAACAAAAAAAAAACAACCCAAAAAGAAATAAAGAAAAAGCTTTTCGTGTACAATGAGGTTGGTGACTATCAACTTGTTGCTTTTTTTTTTTTTTTTTTTAAAGATTTATTTATTATGTATACAGAAGAGGGCACCAGATCTCATTACAGATGGTTGTGAGCCACCATGTGGTTGCTGGGAATTGAACTCAGGACCTCTGGAAGAGCAGTCGGTGCTCTTAACCTCTGAGCCATCTCTCCAGCCCGACTATCAACTTGTTAAAATCTTTTATTTTTGCACCAATCTATCTTTATAAATCACTTCAAACTGCTGGAGTCAAAAGCTGGGGATCTGTTTTTGCCAAACTGCTTCTTAGAAATCCTAAGTATGCAAGAGCGTCCATTTCCCATACATTCTTGCCAAAATGAAATTGTTCAGATTTGTTTGGTCAAGTTTTGCCACTGAGGTTACGAGAAAGGTGAAGCCCACTGTTGCGGTAGCGGCAAGCCTTACCCTGACATCTCAGCTTTCATTACCACTGCCACCCCGTGTCCCCTACACTGCTGCTGGAAGTTAACGGGAGCTCACGGAACCAGAATGGAATCAAGATGGCCACGCTAATTTGTCTACAGTAGCTGAAACTGTGTGATCTTTCAGAGTACTCCCAGGATCCATGTAGAACATATGTGCGCAAGGTCCCTTGTTCCCTTTCAAGACAGAAAGATTAGAGGAAGCCACCCCGAGTACCCACCTGCTTCAGTCTGTCATAGTCGAGTCCTTCTGTCTGGACTCCATTGGCACTGGGCTGTGACGAAGGTGTAGATTTGGGTCTGTACAAAAGAAATTTCCAGGACAGATAAATTACATTTACAACATTTAACGAGTTTGCAAGTAACTGTAAATTGCCACCCCAATGCCAGATTTAAATTAACTTCTTAAACCTATTTTGCTAAAAAGTTAATTGTCAAAAGTGTAGGACTGATTAGAACAGGAAGCAGAAAATGTCTTTCACTTTTCTCACTTGAATCGTCTCTTTGAAAAAGAAGGAAAGAATGACAGTATGGTGAAACTCCTTTAAGAGAACAGAAGACAACACCCCTTGGACCAGGTAACACACAGCATGCTGACCATGGACGTGACAAAGTGATCAGTTGAAACTCCCAAGGCCTATATAACGCAGTCAGGTTTGGCTTTTGAAACTTTATATTATGCATTAAATATCAAGCAAATCAAGAAAGGGAAAGCTCTAATATCTAGAATATTTTATTTAACACAAATCAGTTTATAAGCTCTGAGCCTCCGTTTGTAGGAGAAAAATAATTTTTTTTTTAAGCCTAATTTCTTTGTCTATTTGCTTCCCTTTTAAGCATTAGAACAAAACCGCTGGAAGCTATTAGGTTAGAAGCACGCTTTCTCTCCAAAAGCGCTACCTTCCGATAGAGTGCATACATTTACTTTGTTTTCAAAAGGAAGAAAGAAAACGGAAAAATAAAAACTGGGAAGTTCTAAGATAGAAGCTTTCAGTTACAACTGCACTTTCAAAAGTTTAGCTTTCATTAAAAATTAAAACACAGTAAAGTAAGTGTTATGTATGAATTAGGCATATTTGGAATTAGGCATATTTCAAACATAAGTTCCAACACCAAATAAACCAGTCATGGCTCCCTCTCCAATCCCGGAAATAAGAGAAACTCCTCAGAGGGAGCCTGGAGCTTCAGTCACTCGCGTCTTCATTTTCTGGTTTAGAACAGTAACCATTCTACAAGCCGTTAGTGAATCACATATTTCAGTTTTGCAGAGTACCAATGTTAGCAAATTATCTGAATCAAGACCCAACACATGTAACTTGCTATAAAGTTATATTTCATAATTCCTAAGATGAAATACTTCAAACCCAAAGGCATTGCTCATAGAGATGAAATACTTAATTTGCTTTAGTTTCAAAACTGCTTAAAAAGCTTATTATGAAAAAAAAAAGAAAAAGAAACTCAATTTTAACTTATTGGGTATCTGCTTCAACAGTAACTTCCAGAAATTTTGTTTAGTAAGTACTGAGGATTTATAGAAAGCTGCTTCTCCTCTTATGAAGACACATCTTTCTTTGTTGAAGACCCTACTTAATTCTAGAGTCTTAAGATCTAAGACCCACAGCAAAATATCCAGTGTTCTGTGTATAGTAAATATTCTTGAGGGTTGGCACACTGCATTTTATACACCCAGGGTTATTTATCGCTGCTTTCAAGAATTAAATTAATTAATCTGCATTTACCTTTACCATTTAAGACAATTAGTTACTTTTCTCTAAGATATATTATAATGACTATTTTTGAAATTCCAACAATGGGTACAACCTGCTACATAATTGAGAAATATGCTGTATCATATAAACACATCTGCATTTATTAAACAATTTAGAATGTTAATAAACAACTGTGCAAACATGCAACTTTAAAAAAATTTAATTCATGCTAACATGCAATCCATCACCACCACCTCCACCACCACCACCACTACCACCACGAACGAGAATTAACTCAAGGGGGAGAACTTTTCATACTGAAGGAAAGGAGTAATCACCACTTTTTAATTTTTTTTTTATTTTTACTTTAAAGAAACATCCTGACACTAGGTGTGAGAATAAAGTATCTTAGAGGACTTTGTTGTTAGGCACTGTTTTTCTCTATATTCTAGCAGATTTTCCTAATAAATGTTTTGTTAAGAACAATTTGCCTTCCTCAAAGAAACAAAAAGACTGGACTGTAAAAATTGACTGGTTGATAAATAAACCTGCCAAATTTTGATTACCAGTGGTATAAAAGTAACTTTAGCAAATAAGAATTTGATCAGAGTCCAATTACAGAACTCCAGAGTCCAATTACAGAACTCCTTACTGACAGATATCCTCCCTATGTATTACTTAATTCATGTGTTCAGTAGACCTGAAGACCATTTTAAAATATAGACGTATAACATTAATGTAATTTTTTCTTTTGAGATAGGGTCTCTCTATGTAGCCCTGGATGTCCTGGAACTCTCTGTCAGTGGCTCTTAATCTTCCTAATACTGCAACCCTTCAATACAGTTCCCTCATGTTTTGGTGACCCCCCAACCATAAAATTATTTTCATTATGGCTAGGTGTGATGGCACACGCCTTTAATCCTAGCACCAGGGAGGCAGAGGCACTCGGATCTCTGTGAGTTTGAGGCCAGCCTGTTCTCCATAATGAATTCTCGGACAGTCAGAGCTACATAGTGAGATCTTGTCTCAAAAAATAAATAAAATAAAATAAATAAAAATTTATTGCTTATTCATGACTGTAATTTGGCTACTGTTATGAATCGTAATGTAAATGTCTAATGTGCAGGGTATCTGATATGTGACCCCTGTAATAGGGGTCATTTTGCCCCCAGAGGGGTAGTGAGCCACAGGTTGAGAAACATTGCTCTGTAGATCAGGCGGGCCTCAAACAGAGATCCTCCTCTCTTAGCCTCCAGAGTGTGCTTGGCATATATTAAAGTATGTCCTCCCCGCCCCCTTTTCTTCTCTCTCTCTCTTTCTTTCATTTCTTTTCTTTCTTTCTTTCTTTTTTTTTTTTTTTTTGATATAGGGTTTCTCTGTCTTGGAACTCACTCTGTAGACCAGGCTGGCCCCAAATCCTGAGATCCACCTGTCTCTGACTCCCAAGTACTGGGATTAAAGGCATGTACTACCATACCCAGCTATTAATGTATTTCTAATAAAATGCACATATTTCAGTTGCTTATGCATTCGCTCATTTATCTGAAACAAGGTCTCATTACATAGTCCAGGATACCCTTAATTTATATTTCTGCCTCAGTATCCCAAGTGCCAAGATTACAGGCATATAATACCATGCCCCTCTCTATATCTGTTGCTTTTAAATTATAGGTTTTTATTACAACTGATAACAAAACATGAGGGCTTATTAGATGTTTAAGTATGTGTTTTTTCCTTAACTTTAGGAAACTGTTACCTAGACAACTGCCTATAAAATGACTATACTGCAATATTTAACTTCCTATTCTATCAAATTAATTCTACAAACTGCTGAAAAGCATCTACAGACTTTTAATTGTTGTCTTTTTTCAATTAAGAAAGAAGCAGATCCTGCCCCTCCCTTTGGAAGGTGGTGGAGGGCAGTGCTGGAGACGCTGAACCCTTATGCGTGCTGAGGACATGACCACTGAGCCCTACTCCCAGACCCGTGTCTTTAATATTCTGAGGTTTGGGTTTTTTTTTCCACTAAAAAAAAAAAAAAAAAACCACTAGGGATCATCTAGAAACAATGTGCTCAAGATGC